GATGTGCAGGAGTCATTAAACCAGAGCATCTGCTTCAGTGGGCCAGACAAGCAACCAGCAAGCTAGGACCTCAGTGGAGCCACAAGTTGGTCTAGGATGCACACAGAGGAGCTGAGACAGAGGTGTCCCTACCTAGAGGAGGCTTGACGCACGTCCCAGGAAGAAAACAGCTACATCTGGTTTGGTATTTGAGACTGGCAGGGTATAGGATTTAGGGCAGGTTGGTCCTCCTTGTTTAGCCTCAGCTTTCACATTTGTGAAGTGGGGCAGCTGGATTTAAACAAGTGATTTCCCAACTTCACCATGAATCAAAGTCCTGTGTATGAACACATTTTGGGGAGACCTGTTCCCAGATACTTTGGCTTAGCCTGTTCAGAATGGTTCCTGAGATACTTTGACTTACTTGGTTCAGTAGGTCCAGGAATGTTAATCATTTATAATGAGGGTGCCTGTGTCCCAAAGCCACCTTGAGAGGGCCTAGTCTGGCCGTATACCCGTTAGCACCTCCAGTGCGGTGCCTAGCACACTACTTTGCACAGAGCTGGGATCTGCAAACACTTGGTGACGGTTCCCATGTGCTGCACTGTCTCCAGACCTGCCACGGATAGACCTCAGAGACTCGCAAACCACTGACATTGGCCACAATTTTTATTAAAGTTTGTGAGTAGGATTGCAAGGGTCTTTGGGCTCTATATCCTCTGTGATTTGGGGGCTAAATGCCCTTTAACCTTTCTAGTAAAATTCAAGTCCTGCATCAAGGTGATTTGGTGAAATGTCAGATTACAGTAGCTTCTTAATATCTTATAGGAGTGAATATCCGCAATCTATGTGCGGATTGTAGGAGTGCTCAGGCTGTGCTCTCTGTGAGTTTCTCCATTCAGCTCAAGGTCCTGTGGGCTGCTTGTCTCTCCATTTTCCAGGTGGGAAACTTGAGGTGCCACCAATTTCTGCAGCCTTCCCACCACAAGGGCTCTTCCCACTACCAACCAGCCTGCGAGTCGGGACCTGGTCCCTGTCCTTGCCGGCCTTAGCTTCATAGCGGGCCTGTGTGGGCTTCATAGCATGGTCAGCTCCACTGCCTGTAAGTTGGGGAAGATGGACTGGATGGCTCTGAGCAGCTGCTTAGTCCCAGTATTTGAAGAAGACTCTAACAGCTGTATTGTATGTCTTTATTTTTTATTTATTTATTTTTTATATTTTAGGGAAGGGTCTACAGGGTGTTCAGGATCTCACTACTAGATCGGACTTGTAGTGATCTGCTTGTTTACAGCCTCCGAGGAGCTGGGATTAGAGGTGCATGCCACCATGCCCAGTCTCAATTGCCATGGCTGGCACGGCATGCCTGGGGATCGAACTCTCTGCTTGCAGGCTCTTTAATCTGCTAAGCTATTCGGTCAGCCCAAACAACCATATTTTAGATGTTTCAATCTCCTAATGTCAGCAAGCTCCAAAGTCTTCCTGGTTTAAGGAAGATTCACCTAATGTGACCGATTAAAATTATATAGGGAACCTTGGCAGATCCTGGGAAGGAAGGTGGAAAAGAGGGAAGGGAAGGGAGAGGGAGGGAGGAAGGAGGAAAGGACAAGAGAGAGAGAGGCAGGCACATCCCCAGGCAAAGGTCATGGAGCTGTCAGTTCAGCCATCTCCTCCTCCATTCTGAGAACAAGATTGAAGGAGTTGGCTTCTGAGGTCAGGACTGTGAGACCACCCTAAAGCCCCAGTTCCAGCAGCCTCAGAAGACCCCCTCAAGGATGTCAGGAAACAGTTCTTCACAGGACCTTAGACACAGGATGTGCTCTCGAAGGTGTCCAGGCCCATGATGCTCAGTGTGCCTTTTGTGCAGCAGCAGCATGAGCATCACTGGGGAACTTGCTAGGAATGCAGAGTTAGGCCACCACGACCATCTTCGTCACAGCTCATTGACAAGAGTCCCCATGTGACTATACTGCACGGGAAAATTAGAAGCACTGGCTCTAACCATACACTTGACTTCTGTCCACCCCATCCTAGTAAGCAGGCTGTCTTCCTGTGTCATCAGAGCCTGACCCAATTTTTGGAACGTCTTCTGCATCCTAGGATGACCGTTGATTGCTCAGCACTTCCACCATTGACCCTCACTGTCTCAGGGCCTCCTTGGAGAACAAGATAACTGCTCCCTCTCCTCCAGAACATCTGATCTCTTAGTCCTTAAGTTCTAATACTCATCAGCCCTTACTCAGCCCAGCTACAGACCTGGGGGAGCCCCACCCACATACTGACTGACCTTTGGGGTTTCTAGAAGAAGGCACACATCTTGATAAAATATGAAATCTCCTACTTTTGAAAGCTAGAATTTAAAACAAAGCAACAACAAAAAATAAAACCTACAGACTTCCTAAAAGCCACCAAACAGCTTTGCCAGCACCTTTCTCCATCTGGCGTAGGGAAGTGGCCTTTCCATTTCCAGGTACATTTGCTTGTCTGGGGGATGTGGTCACCTGTTCGCTTGTAGTGAAAGGTTTTCAGTGGAATCCCAATACAGGAAACAGATGCACTCAGCCCTGAGCGGGGGCGGGGCTCTGGCCTCTGCCTCCCAGGGCAGTGTCTATGGCACCTCCTGAAGAGCCCAAGCTCGAGGCATTTGGAACCCTCTGAGCTGATTAGAGTCCCTTAAGAACCTCACAGCTCAGCTTCTGTGATTTCCAAGAGCCCTTAGGACTGGTTCCAGGCACACGTCTTTGTTTTTGTAGTCTTCTTGTCTGATCAAGACTTCTAATACTCCAAATTCCAGAGTTACCCTCTTGCAGTTAAAAAAGGCCTGTTGAGGGAGTGTGAAAGATTGCTGTCATCAGGAGACATGCTCTACGGATGCTGGGCCATTGTGGAAGACCTGCTAATGCAAAGATGAGCTGAGTCTTATCAAACCAGTTTAGGGATGGTTAGCTCAGGTTCCTCGTAGTTAGTTATGTTGGAAATAGGACTGTTAGATCCTGCTGCCATAATGGCAGGAACAAGTCTGTAGGATTGGAATTGGCAGGGTCATCTGGAAGGCCACTGACCTCTACATGTGCCTGGAAGGTGCTTAAATAACCCTGTAGTGCAGGCTGTGCGGGGTGTTGGACATGACTGTCAGCTTGGGAATGTCGGCCCCATGGTGGATTGCCAGCTGGGGTCAACTTGTTACACCCAGATGAGCTGAACTAGCATGTATGGGAGCCCCCCCCCCCCCGAACTGTTGCCAGCAGGATAAGAGGCAGAACTGGAGAAGAAGAGGGAGGCTGTTAGGGAAGCTTTTGGACCTGTTGGAAGCTGCTGGTTCTTTTGGACTGTTCTTCTGGAGGACCTTGTTCTCGACGGAGAAAGAGCTTAGGAATCTCACTGATGCTGAGAATGGCTTCAGTTCATTTTGGGGGAGCTCTGCTTTATATCGTGAACATCACATCCTGGCTCTGGAGAGGAAGATGGGGCTTCTCCGTCTCCTGGAGAAGCTCGTCACACTGGCTTTCCTGATGGAAACTTGGCTCTCCTCATCCTTGGAGGAGCTCAGGACCTCACTGTTGCTGAGGATGGCTGTGGTGCTTTTGGGGGAGCTCTGGTCCTCAACTTGAGCATCGCTTCCTGGCTCCAGTGCAGACCACTCAGCCCACTAGCACAGGCTCTTCATCCCACTAGCACAGGCTTTCTAGCTTCCACCTCTGACCTCTGGGCCTTCCCAGCACAGATTGGTGAAGCAGGCCTGCCTGAGATACTGCCGTGGGCTCCAGGCCTCCAGCTGGACTCGTGTGTAGCATTGTTATGGGCTCTAAGTTTTCAGCTGGACTTATACAGGTTATTAGGCTCCAAGCCCTCAGCTAGATTCTTTGGTCTTAGTGTGTGGACAGATTTCCTGCGCTCTTTGTATGTGATTCTTTGGATGATTCATTGTAAAATACTCTTATAAGATGTGTCCTGTATGGTTTCCGCTTGAGAAACCCCAAACTACAAACAAGCCCCTTGAGCTTACTCTGGACCCAGAAATGCAGCCTCTTTTAATTAGAGAAGCCACTTCCCAAGGGGCCCAGGAGGACAGGCTTTCTTCTCGGGACACTGATAAAGGCCATGCTAGGCCAGCTCTTGGCCTGCTGTATGCGACTCTTGTTTCCAGCCTCCTGATTCTGTGTCACGTACTCTCACCCACTGGGCAGATGTTCACCCTCTTTGAAGCTGCACCCCTGGGACCACAGGGATGACCAAGACACAGTGTCCCTTTCTGTGCCAAGATCTCCTGTCCCTCCGGCCCAGCCCCCATCCTCCTTCTCCACCTGCACCGTGCAGCTGCGCCCAAGCCCCTTTTCCCCACCCGCTGCACTCCGCTGCTGTCCGAGGCCCAGCCACTGTCCTCATGCCCGGGAAGCCTTCTCCATTTCTCACGCGGAGGGAACTGCAGGCCGCTCCCCCAGGAGTCCCTGCCCGCGCCATGCCCGCATGTAGCTGCAGTGACCTGAGGCTCTAGAGCCTGGAGAGGGTCTGAACCGAACACAGTGAGCAGTGCACGGTGCGCACTGGACGCGAGAGGCAGCGCCACCGGGAAAGAATGCAAAGCGCCTCAGTAATCCCTCACAAAGTGCACATTGAAATGATAATGCTTCATTGTATTGTGCTAATTAAATATACTACTAAAATTAATTCCATCTATTTCTATTTCTTAACATGAGAGGTAAAAATTCAAATTACAGGTCTGGCTCACGCCTTGTTTCTGCTGGGCAACACTACATGCGGCACGATCTCTCTGGGTGAGAAGCGTGGAGCCTCAGGCCTTGCCCTGCAGCTCTGGGCCGTCCTGCGGGTGGACGCTGAGTCTCACTGGACCTTGCACACCATGCTGGCGCATGGTCATCCCACGAAGGCAGACTGAGGGAAGGGACAGATCACAGAGACACGGGGACCATCCCAGAGGCTCCGGAGGCAGTGTCATTTTGGGGGCTGTGCCACTGGCCTTATCTGGTTTTCTCCTCTCTCCTAACTTTTGTCTTTCTTTCCAGGGCTCACGCAGTCGGCAGAAGAAGCCTTTTTTCATGGGAGATGGGCAGAAGCTAAAGGACTGGCATGACAAGGAGGCCATCAGGAAGGATGCACAGCGCGTGGGTACGGAGGGCAGGTGTCCACGGGGGGGGCTCCGTGATTGCGGTAGCATGGGGGGTGCCGGTGGGCGTGTCAGCAGGTGTGTGCCGGTGGGCGTGTCAGCAGGTGTGTGGGGGTGGGTATGTCAGCAGGTGTGTATAGGTGGGTGTGTCAGCAGGTGTGGGTGGGTGGGCGTGTCAGCAGGTGTGTGCCGGTGGGCATGTCAGCAGGTGTGTGGGGGTGGATATGTCAGCAGGTGTGTATAGGTGGGTGTGTCAGCAGGTGTGTGCCGGTGGGCATGTCAG